CATAGCATCATGCTGTATCGACAGTGTTACCAGCATCTTCCACCTGCCTGTAGCTGCAGTTCTGTTTAACCAACGGAACCCTGGCATAATGGACAATCCTACCTTTTGCTCATTCTGGTACCCGATATTTTTCTTTCTACAACATATGTCGATGTTCTTGGTCTTGTTAATGTCGGTTTCAAGAACTCTAGCCATCATGTTTCCTTTCTTTAGAATTAATAAAAGAGCTGTTATTCTATCGATACCTGTCTACGCGGCGTATTTGATGCTGTGGTTCACAGTAAACTATTACAATGCCAAGTCGGTCTTCACAAAGAACGATCCATTCTGTTATCTGGTGTCACAAAATCACCTCTTGGGTATTGCATACGGCATCCACTACAATATCTGCATTGGCATTCCCCCAATAATAATAACAGTGGCTTTCACTGTTACAATTGCGAAACTTACAACCGGACAAAAAGATCTTCAATCACTATCGAGGAAAAATAACTTTCAAGCATCCGTGACGATATCCTACTTTACAGCAGTGTTTCTGGCTTGTAATTTGGCGGCTTTCACAAATGGAGTCTTGTATTTGGTTACTGTGAAGATTCTCAACAATACTACACTGCTAAAGTCGGCAGAGTTCATGAGATTTTACTGGTGGTTTATTTCTAACCTTTTCTGCATGGTGTTAAATGCGGCGCTGAACCCGATTTTATATTTCTGGCGGATGAAAGAGCTGAAACAATTCGTCTTGCACTTCGACTACAGAAAGCAAGAAATATTTACATCTTCAGCATAAAACATCAAATGGCTCAGCACTGTTGATAAGGGATCTTTTCAAGTAGGAGAAGACGACTGATAAATTATGGTTTCTGCTGTAAAATGAGATTCCAACATTCTCTAGATAATTGTTGGAGACAATGCCACGGAGGCATACATAACGCTAGGTGTATCTAAAATATTTTACCCATTTATCATTTATCTCGTTCTGCTATTCTGATTATTTTATTACTCTTAGGAATTAATATCTGATGACACGGATTTACTAATTTGAACAGTCACTGCGGGTGGTTGATTAGTTAATCAAATTTTAAACTCAAAAATATTGATAAAAATGACACCACCGCAGCTGTACGTGACAGTAATTTGTTAACAGAATTTGGTGAGAAGATGAAGCCTCACTTTACGGCATACTGTGCCTGGCTAAAGGGTAATCTGTTTACCAGCAATTATAATTTTCCTCTTAGGTGAGCCTAGACGTCTCCCTTCATATCATTTAGGTGCATTCCATTACCGCTTCCATGAGAGTACCGATCACTTCAGTGGGAACCTAAGTGATCGGTACCCTCAAGGATAATTGCAATGATAATTGCTGACAAAAAGGTCATCCGTAAATCCTATATTTGGTTACAATATGGTGGTTTTTACAAACTGGTGGAATTACGAACGGTGTCATTTGTGTGATTATTTATAGATTGTATTTACGTAGAACTATCCACATTTCGCAGGATGTGGGTGTTTTAAAAGTCTGACTGACTTTAGGGCAGGTTTAAATATTTAACTTCAGTTCGACTGAAACCATTTTGAACTTGTATCAAATACGGAGTCCTAAGAAACTTCTTCTTGATTATTTATTTTCGCTGCAAACTTCAACAAAATAAGCTGTCATATCAGAATTGTAGCATGAATAACCGCTATTTTTGCATTCCAAGGTAATTGCCGATGGTAGCTTCGCTTCACATTATATTCTAATCAAGTGCATTACTGCTAATTGTTGTATGACAGCCTCTCAGAGCCTCTGATTACTGTGAGCCATTTCTACCACACCCTTCTCACAGACCAGATTGTTAATTTCTCAGGATACAACTCAATTGTGCGCTCAGATACTTTTATTCCTCTTTTGTTTTTCGATTATCTTGGATAATTTAAATAATTTTTGACGCCTTCAAGTCGGATAAATTACTGCCGAGACCACTGGATCCGGTGATCTTTACAAAGATTTGTCAGACTTGAAAGCGTCCAAAATTATAAGCTTTTGTCAAAGTTAAATTCTCAATATTATTTTATACATATTATTACGCTGTATCACTTGTTCTACAATCAAAAAATATTCGCAACCTTCTACTATACAACAGGGTTGCTAAAATATAGCTAGACGTTGCCTCTATAGCAACCCTATACTATACACCAGGGTTGCTAAAATATAGCTAGACGTTGCCTCTAGTAACCCTTTACTATACAACAGGGTTGCTAAAATATAGCTAGACGTTGCCTCTAGTAACCCTTTACTATACAACAGGGTTGCTAAAATATAGTTAGACGTTGCCTCTAGCAACCCTTTACTATACAACAGGGTTGCTACAATATAGCTAGACGTTGCCTCTAGCAACCCTTTACTATACAACAGGGTTGCTAAAATATAGCTAGACGTTGCCTCTAGCAACCCTTTACTATACAACAGGGTTGCTAAAATATAGTTAGACGTTGCCTCTAGCAACCCTTTACTATACAACAGGGTTGCTACAATATAGCTAGAAGTTGCCTCTATAGCAACCTTCTACTATACAACAGGGTTGCTAAAATATAGCTAGACGTTGCCTCTAGCAACCCTATACTATACAACAGGGTTGCTAAAATATAGTTAGACGTTGCCTCTAGCAACCCTTTACTATACAACAGGGTTGCTACAATATAGTTAGACGTTGCCTCTAGCAACCCTTTACTATACAACAGGGTTGCTAAAATATAGTTAGACGTTGCCTCTAGCAACCCTTTACTATACAACAGGGTTGCTAAAATATAGTTAGACGTTGCCTCTAGCAACCCTTTACTATACAACAGGGTTGCTACAATATAGCTAGACGTTGCCTCTATAGCAACCTTCTACTATACAACAGGGTTGCTAAAATATAGCTAGACGTTGCCTCTAGCAACCCTATACTATACACCAGGGTTGCTAAAATATAGCTAGACGTTGCCTCTAGTAACCCTTTACTATACACCAGGGTTGCTAAAATATAGCTAGACGTTGCCTCTAGCAACCCTATACTATACAACAGGGTTGCTACAATATAGCTATACGTTGCCTCTAGCAACCCTTTACTATACACCAGGGTTGCTACAATATAGCTATACGTTGCCTCTAGCAACCCTTTACTATACACCAGTGTTGCTACAATATAGCTAGACGTTGCCTCTAGCAACCCTCTACTATACAACAGGGTTGCTACAATATAGCTAGACGTTGCCTCTAGCACAAAATTTACCGAGATCGTTTGATGTTTGGCGAGGATGACCAGTTTTCAAATGTTACCCTCACCATTTGAGATAAAAATTCTCACACTTCTTAATATTCAATGACCGGTCCTCTCTTTTCGATTAAAACCACTTTAATTAACGAAAAAAAAAATATTTGAAAACGGACACCATTAATAATGACGCATAAGTTAATTATGACTCATGACTTAAGTTAATCATGATGATCAGGGCCGATATAGGCCTGATTTTCTGCTGTATCTTTGAAAAATACCACACAACCCAATCCCGTACGAGACACAATCCATTCACGTACAAATCACATTAATCCATAGTACTAGATTACTGTAGTCGGCTACCGGACAACTGAACCCAATTTGGACTTTTCCTAGACAGGGTAGCTTGGGAAAATAATTATAAACCCAATCAGACTACCTAATTAACTTTGAAACGACAACTGAACCCAATCGTCACTAGAAATCACTAACAGTTTAACAGGTTTCCAAATACCGTTCTAGTTTAGCTGCTGCCTGGTTTCTAGTGCTATAATTTTGGTATGTTGAGGTTGGTGCTTCGGAGTGGTTGGCAGATCCGGACTTATCTGCTCGTGATCGTTGGACAATTCTGGCGAGGGATTCTAGTTTAGGTAGTACCACGTTGATTTCGGATTGTAGATAAGGCTTCGGTGAGGAGGTTTTTTGTTGCTGATGATCTATTCTATAGTGATAATGACCACAGTCATATCACTGAAAATCCGATCGTTGGGTTCAGTTGTCGTATTTCCTTGGGTTCAGTTGTCGTATTTTCAATTTGGGTGCAGTTGTGATATGACCTGGGTTCAGTTGTCGTTTTGGGATTTAAGCTGATTGGTCACCCAATTAAGCTGATTGGGTGCCTGTTAACTGCGTGGGAACTAGGTTCAATTGGGTTCAGTTGTCTGCCACCCCTGTAGGCTGCCTTATCCCCATAACCCAATCAGGAAACCGTTAGAATAGTCGCCATTTTTCAAATGTTTCAACAATCCTACTCGGAGAGGTGATGACGGATGGCCATCATTCTTTCATTTCTCTTACTCTCTAAAGCGCTTAACTTCGAGTGTGATTTTTTGTTTAAGCAATAGTTTAATTAGAAAAATGTTAATGAAATTTATTTTATAATTTCATTTAAATCAAGACATTACAAGAAGAAATGTGTCTTACTGTCGGACAATATTCGGCTAACTTAATTTGTTTACAGCCATAAATTTAACTTGATTACAGCCATTCAGTGGCTGGGTTATAGTTCACCGGTAGGTGCTGGCGATTATAGCACCATGCCAACGTGTTCAGCACTGGGTCCTTGTTTCAATAAATATCGCCCCTATCAATAACAGGTGCACCTGGTGTATTAGATACCGATATTTTAACACAAACTTGCCGTCTATTCTGCTAGGTGTTTAGGTGACGACTTAAACACAAGATGGGTGAATCGGGAAAGCATGAAACCACTGAAACAGTTGATTCTGTGATAAACAGAATAGGAAAGTCGCCCAATTTCCTAATGTTTGTTGTTGCTACGTGCGCCATGTCATGTTCGTATGTGGGCACGTTTTTCGCCTTCATGGTTCAGTTTACCGGCTTCATTCCGAATGAGGAATACAGGTGCATTTCTCAGAAGTGCCTTACTCTGAAAAGCAATTTCACGGAATTGAATGAAGGTAACTTTTTCTTTTTTAATTTTTAACCCACTATGCATTTAACTTTGAAGCTTTAACTTTAAGTCTGTTTAATGTCGTGAATGCTTGGCTTACTTATATCGGTAATATGTGTGCGGTAATGTTCGTTTTATTAATTATTTTAATTTCATTCCGATTGAATACAATTTCAGGGATGATAAACCTATTTAAACCGTGTTTACATTTTCAGTTGATAGTAAATTCTATGATATAGCGACCATCTGTGACAATGCTATGATTTACGGAGCAGATTTCAAATGGGATATTTCTCGGACAACTTTTGCGATTGATTTCGACAAAATCTGCAAGCCAAGCGAATTGAGCCTTCTTAACTCACTTTATTTTGTTGGAGGATCTATAAGTCTGCTTTGTGGTAAAAACCTGATTTGAATATGTTTTAATTGAGCCTGCGATGATATACGTTTTATTTTTTGTTTAACCTTATTCTTGATTCTTGAAGGCCCTTGACTGTTCATCGAGCTATCAAAAATATCGTTTGATTAGCAGTACTATTTTAACGAGAAACGTTCAGGAACGGTGGCATTTGAAACTCTGGGAAGAAGGAAAACTGCAGTCCTAGGGGGTCTTTTTGGGACAATCTCCACATTCATGGGAACGTTTTGCAATAGCTACAATTTCATGATCGCAATCCGTCTTCTGCAAGGTATTGTAAATAAAATGGCCGCAATATATTGTATCAAGATGAAAATTATTTTATTATGTTAAAGAAATAGGACAAATTCTTAATCATGACTCACCAATTGAGTAATTTAGTAAGCCAACTAAAACCCTGCCCTCAGGGATTGGTAACTTTGTTTCCTTTGCTGGAACGTACATCTGGGTATTAGAGTTCGTTCCTGAACAGTACCGGATCTACTATAACACGTGGTCCATGTTGATCTGGTGTATCGGTTACCCACTTCTGGTTTGCACTAGCTTCTTTATCCACAACTGGAACTATATCTTTCTTGCAAGTTCATTAGCCGTTGCTATCACCTATATCCCGGTATTTCTGCTCCCTGATTCACCAAGGTAAATATTTAACCGACCTTTGAGTCAATACTCAATATTAGGGATTATTTCGAGATATTGGTGATATCAGAGTAGCGATCGATCGGGATAAATCCACATCTGGAACTATATCTTTCTTGCAAGTACATTTGTATACTTTATAGCCATTGCTATCACCTATATCCCGGTATTTCTGCTGCTTGATTCACCTAGGTAAATGTTTAAACCGATCTTTGGAGTCAATATTAGGGATTATTTCGAGATATTGGTGATATCAGAGTAGCGATCGATCGGGATAAAATTTATGTTTGGAGACGATATTATGACTGGTTTGAACTAGTTTCTTTATCCACAACTGAAACTATATCTTTCTTGCAAGCACATCATACCTTATAATCATTCCTAGCACATATATCCCGGTATTTCTGTTGCCTGATTCACCTATATACTAAGACATAGGTAAATGTTTAAGCGATCAATAATAGTGACTATTTCGAGATATTGGTGATATCAGAGTAGCGATCGATCGGGATAAAATCTATCTTTGAGGATGATATTGTGACCTAATTTCAAGATTTAGTCGTTTTGGCAATTTTGTCGGGACTGGGATTTAAAATGATGACTTGTACCGTTCATGCAAATTTAGACTATCTGGCTGATTTGACAAGTATAACAGGTATCTGATGACCCTCGGTAAAGTCGAAGAAGCAAAGAAAGTGCTAGTTATGTACGCCAAGCTGGCCAAGAAGCCTATTAATCTGGACGATGTGAACCTGATCGTGGGGGAAAACGCAACTAAAGATGAAGGGAAAATCTACCAAAGACAGAGTCAGTATATGATCATGAAGTGGAGTATAATATTTGATACTAGCATCAAAAATGTTAAACACATGAGTTATATCCGAGCAGCTGTTGGAAATTAAAATCATCAACAAATTTTGATGATTTTTACTTGTAGTTGTAGAAGTTAGATTAATTTTTGACATGGCACATTGCCAAGTGCTAACATGGCACATTGCCAAGTGCTAACCATAACACATTGCCAAGTGCTAACATGGCACATTGCCAAGTGCTAACATGGAACATTGCCAAGTGCTAACATGGCACATTGCCAAGTGCTAACCATAACACATTGCCAAGTGCTAACATGGCACATTGCCAAGTGCTAACCATAAACACATTGCCAAGTGCTAACATGGCACATTGCCAAGTGCTAACTATAACACGAACATTGCCAAGTGCTAACCATAACAGGAACATTGCCAAGTGCTAACATGGCACATTGCCAAGTGCTAACTATAACACTAACATTCTGCTAGATAGCCGACATCCTTAGTAACAAAGCTGTATTGCTGGAGACGTTAGTACAGTGGTACTACTGGTTCACCAGTTGTATGTTATTCTACTTCTTAAACTACGGCTGGAGTAGCTTTGGTGACACTCCTTACGTTAACTACCTTTTCGCAGGTTAATATTATCACCTTGTAATCACCTTGTAATCACCTTGTAATCACCTTGTAATCACCATGTAATCACCATTGTAATCACTTGTAATCACCTTGTAATCACCATGTAATCACTGTCTGTAACCACCTTGGAATCACTTTGTTAATCCCTTTTGTAATCACCTTGTAATCATTTTGTAATCACATTGTAATCATTTTGTAATCACCTTGTAATCACCTTGTAATTCATTCTGATAAATTTATGGTTATTTTGATGGTTTTAAAATCCATACCAGCTAACAATGTGACCTCTCGACGGCGGCAAATATATTATTCTGATGGTTTTGTGGGTTCACGTTATTTAATAATTCTATAAGCTATATCAACAAACATTCTGACTTAAAGATAATTGATGATCACCACGTTATTCTGCAGGGTTGGGAGAGGCAATAGCATACTTGTCTCTCATACCGATCATCACTTACGTCGGTCGGAGGAAGGGGATGGTATTTGTCCTGGGTATGAGTTGCGCCTGTTTCCTGCTAGGTATGATACCATGGCAGTGGTCGGAGCTGTGGAGCTTTGAGAGGCTGATGACCATGGCATCCATTATTGGGGTGTCGGCTGCATTTGCTCTAGCATTCCTCTACACCAATGAGTTGGCGCCAACTACACATAGAGGACTGGTTCTCAGCTCCTGTAGCATTATTGCTCGAGGCGGTGAGTAAAATAAAAACTGGGTTTGTCGATGCAGCTGTTTTCCGGGGTGATCATTATCATATTCTATTTGTAATAATAAAGAAATGTACTTAATTCGTGGTCTACTTTTATACGATTAATAAGATAAACGAGTTTGTTTTTCAGCGGCGTTCGTTGGACCGTTTGTGTCGGAGATATTCGAGAGCAGTACCGTGAAACTTGGGGTTAATGCAGTACTGGCAGGATCAGCCGCCCTTATCTGTCTGCTGCTTCCTGGTAATTTTTTAACCGCATGTAAGTCTCTTATATAGAATTCAGCTAACTTTTGTAAGGTGAATTATTAATCAGAACTAAATATAACGTTAATCTTATTTTAACCGCACTTCATCTCCAGAGACAAGAAAGTTGCCGATTCGGAACGACCTCACATATTATACCTCAATACGTCCAAAATATTTATTACTACAACCACCAAATACATTAACACAACTTTAGCATAACTACTCACTAACTCATTCTACACACCCAATCTATTCAACCAAACATACCTATCACACCTCTCCCCAACACCATTCATACCCAACAAACACAAACCTCACATACAACAAAAATACTACCCTAACCAAAAATATTAATCTAATACCCCCACTACCACTCAACAAATCCCCCCCCCAAACCCCCCCCCCTCTTTCTCTATTACCCAATTCTTACCCCTACCAAATCCATACTCCCTCCATTCCCATAAAAAAACACCCCCTACCTCTTATTACAACCCCACATCTCCCCCTTCACTTTACCCCCAATTTCACACCTACCCCTCCAACACATCATATTATTCCCCCCCACATACACCATCTCCCACATACCTTATGACCAACACCCTGGGCACCCCCCAGGGCCAGACATCGGACTGTTTACCATGACTCAGCCCTTACACAATATGCACCCCCTTCCCCCCCCCCCCCCCCCTACCCCCTAGCCCCGTAAACCCTTTACTAATTCCCTACTAGAAGACCCGCCAGCCCCCCCCCCCCCCTAAACCCTCTCAATTCCAGCCCCCCCCTAAAACTTCCAAATTGTCAGGAATCCTAGGACATCCATCCGAACCTTCCTACCCCCCTCCCCCCCCCCCCTCCTGTATTTGTATCTAGGAATAAGTAAGGATTGTTTCTTTTTTTTTTCTTTTAAGCTTTATGTTGCTGTTAGCTGCAATTTTTACTGGATGATTTAAGTGGATGTTGACAGACTTAAGGATTGCATATTTGTTCGACCCTCTACTCTGACTAATTTTAAATATTTCTAAAAAATCCTGTATTTTGAAGAAACATGGTTTGCCAGTAAAAAAATTTCGTTTCCTTTTCCAAACAAAGAAACCCATGCTGCCACCTCCTTATCACTAGCAGTTTATAACAACTAAAATAACAACTAAAAGGACAATTAATTAACAACATATTAGCAACTAAAAGTAACGTACGTGTTGGAGAGGGTTAGGTGAAGACTGTTCCACAAAGACGTGGACCACGTCAATAGGGAATATCATTAGTTTGTAGGCTATGCTTGTTGACAGTGTGGTCTGAGTGGTGGAAGAAACGTCTGTAATAACCACCTGTAGAGAGGGAGTTAAGTTTCACTTTATTTTCTCGTTTTCACTTTCACTTAGTTTCACATTTCATTTCATTAGTTTCACTTTCATCTGACCTGCACTTACTGTTTTCACTAATTTCGTAACTGTGACTTTGATAAGATTAAAATGTCATAATCTATAAAACGGCCAATATAATAAAGCCTAAAATGTTTCTTCTCACTTGCAATTATCAAATATCTGGTCTCCAGCCACACTAAATTCCAATGTCCAGCACGCAAAAGAAAGCAGCCCAGTCTCCAGCTTGGAGGAGCGGAGTTTGTATTTTAGGGGTTTAGCAATGCTCCAGGCACGGATTGCGCTAAGAGTTGTGACCAGCATTATTGTGCACGTGTACCCGTACCACCACGTATGACCTGTTAACAGGGAGGTTAGTTTCACTTTCACTTTCGTGTGGTTTCATTTTCACTTCTGCGAGAGGATCGGTTATTCAGATAGTGTTTTACTCAAAAGTCAAACTGGCTGTCATGATGAGTTTAGGTTTTGAGCTGGTTTAAATTTGATTAGAGGCAATTTTGAAAAATGAGTTTGATCAAACCAAAAAGAAATCCAAGATAAACATCAGATTTTGAATAACAGAAAGGAGTTAATTATCAGAAATCATACCATCTCTCTTCCCTACTAACCGACTGATAGCTCGAAGATGTGTTGAGAAGGTAACTTTATACTGGTGTTAGGATAGTTCTCCAATATTTGACACATGTGGTTTCGGCCCCTAAGTAAGTAGATTCCCCCGTATATAGAGGTATAGCCAACATAGCATCCCGCCATGTCTATGCTTATCCGTGCCCAGCGGGGAGATTGCTCAGCCTTCGAGTTTTTCATGCTGTGTGAGAGATAACCTATTATAGTTCACCAGTCGGTCTATTATGAACCTGGGTGTGGGACTGTGGGAGTCTGTGGACTATGATTTATCGAGAGCTGAGGACTCGCTGTTCTAATGATCTCGAATAAGTGACTTGCTGCAAATCAATGGTAAAATCGATAAAGCGACAATTTACCTGAACGAACATGCAAGCGGATGCTCGCTGGGATGCTTCTTTGAAGTAAGCAAAGAAGACAACCCCGTTACCCAGCAACGCCAGTACGCCCGCCATAAGGTGAAGTGTTCCTATGGCGATATCCGCTGATCTGCTGTAGATCTCGTCCGGAAGCTCGCAAGGGTAGACAGTAGGAGTGATGGTGGTGGAATTTGTCATGAGGGTCAAGTTATCTGGAGACATCCTGCAAATGAGGAATTGATAACATTTGATAACATTTGGTTAGTTTTTGTTGAAATGAATAAGGGATTTGTTAAAATGAATTAAATAATGAAATGAGGGATCGTCTATCAGTTTGCAGTAAACCAGTTGGCATTTGTATCGTTTTTAGCTTGTTATCAGCAGTCGCTATCTGCAAGTATTACACGCCACGCTGAACTTGCATGGATTTCTCTGTGGAATTACTACACAGAGTGGAAAAGGATATGCGATAGGAGATTGGAAAGCTCATGAAAGCTGCGAATGTTTCGTCCTCCTCTGATATGAACTAGGGTACGTTGTACAAAAACTGTTAAGGGGCCGCTTGTAAATTTCCTCAGCAATATAGTGAATTTAATGGACAGCAATATGCATGTCTGCAGCAAGCAAGATAGATCAGAATTCAGATGAAAACAGAACAGATAGACATGCAAAAGAAGCTGATAAACGTACAGCAGGATCAAATCGGTGCAGAAAACTGAATTAAAGAAATGAAAAGTTGGGCAGATGAAGTCAAGAAGAACAGCGCCCAAAACAGCAAAAACTGTGTAAGAAGCCGTGAGATCAGTGAATGAGGAAGAAGAAAGATCGAGAAACTTGATTATCTACGGAGTTACTCTCCCGGATTTTTTGCTTTTTCGGGTAAGTTTTTTATGGCGGCTCATGTGACTTTCCTGAACGTATGAAAATATGAGATTTGAAGACAGTTCCTGTGAAAACGCGACCAATCAAATGTTCAGTTACCCAAGTCTAGCGATGCGGACATTATACTAAGGAACGCACACAAAATAAAACAAATGAAGATTTTTAAGTCAGTTTATCTTGACGGATAGGACAAAGGGAAATAGAAGACTACACGTGAAATGGTCAAACAAGCTCAAGAGAGACGGGCGTATCCCAGCATTGAGGAAACAGCATTAGACGTAGACACTTACTCGTCACTTTTGCTGTGGGGCGTATAAAAAAATCATCTCTTCGGATCCTTGTCGAAGGTGTGAGACTTCGGAAAAATACGGCTGACACTGTCATTAATTAAGAAGAAAAGCGACCCTAGTGGGCACTGGGGGATATGGAGTTTATTTATATAGCTTGATATTTAATCTGGTCTATGAAGGAGACCCACATTACGACAGCCTTAAAACATATCGATTAGTGAATCCAATTAAATATGTCAATTATATCGCGATTAGGACCTAATAATGTGTTAAACCAGGAATTGAAATGATATTATCGTAATGTTATCAGAAACTTGAGTTAAACAAAGGCTACGAGATTAAATCTAATTGACAACTCTAAATTCCTCTCATTGCAACTGCTCCTTCATAAATATACTAGCTGTAAAACTGTGACTCGGCACAAAATGTTAAGTTAAAGGAATCTTACAGGTTATTTTGTAGTTTTAGTCCCGTATTAACATTTTAGTGAACTCTGAAGGCTCTGATGGTCGCATAGGATGATTTGCTGTATTTTTAATATTAATTCAGCAAGTAAGAAACATCGACCATGGCGCAATTAAAGGTCAAAGGTACTTAAATACTAATGAATAAAACACTATGACATTAATATGGTATTCAGGAATTGCTGATTAATTTAAAGCCCAAGTTATTTTTATGGCCCGGACGCATGGACTAACACAATACTCATATCAGCTGGCAAGTGAGCCGCGGTTGCATCATTTCGAGCTTTTCTAGCTAAGGAGGCATTTACCAATAAACTTAAACCCGCCACGCATAGGGTTTATATATACAGATCATCCCGCGCTAGCGGGATGATCTGATAATTACAAATACGAGTGCGCGCAGAGCACGAGTTTTGTGTTAATTAAACATAAACCGCCACGCAAAGGGTGTATATTAACAGATTCATCCCGCGCTAGCGGGTGATCTGATAAACACATACGAAGGTGCGCGCAGCGCACGAGTTTTGTGTTAATATGTATTCCCGAAGCGCCAGCTGAGGGATCTACATTTATTTAGCCCTGAAGCGTGAAAGTGTTTATGGATTATATTTACTCCCGGCGATTTCGACAAGGTGATTTATTACTATAGAAGTGAGTGGGATTGGAAAGCAGTTCATCAATCTGAATGTCAACCGATCTGTCTTAGTGGAGCTATAGCTGAACGTTAGCAGGAACAAAGAGCGGGAAGGAGAGCAAGCAAACAATACTAATTTTTCAGGGCACGGTCAAGGGTAGCTGGCTAGTCGCAACCTTCTCACGCACGCGTTGTTGGTAGAAATTCCAGAATTAGCTGCTTTCGCAACGTTCCCAGGAATTTGCGTGTTAAAAGAAGTGGACGGTTTTCGATGTTTCATTACACGTGGTGCGCTTTCGTTGTCATGTATAGACTCGGCGCTATGCTATTGGTTGGGCCACGTGGTACGCACGTGACGGCCCACGTGATCGCGCGTTAACTGTTCTACTTTATCGAGTTTAATCAGCAGTATCATTGATTTTGTTAGTCGGAGAATTGATGATAAACATCAGTACGACTTAAAAGCGGGCCGGGTTTAGCCGGGTTTATACAAATCGGGGCGGGATGATATCACCTTGAAGATGTTATCTAACTGCCGGCCGGGCTCGACTGATAATATGATCCCGCGTCGAAATCCGGGAT